GCACGGTGGCTTGCACCAGTCGCCGTCGCCTCGGCTTGTCAGGCGCGGCGTCGAGGCGGAACCCGCCTGAACCGATTCGGCTGCCCGTGACCCCGAGTACGGTGTGGACCATTCATCATCTCGCACAGCAGGGAGGCACGTCGCCATCGGCATCGTACATAAATTGCCCCTTCTTTAGGTGAATCGCCATGTATGGGATCGTGCTTGCTGCTGGCTCGGGCTTGTGGGTACGGACCAACGTCGGGTCGAGGAGGCGAGAAGGCCTAGGAGCGTCGCAACTTGGGCGCTGGGTACTGTAACCAGGTCCACACAGGTGCCATTGCTCGTCGGGTGGCCCGCGAATCATGCGCAGTGCAGGTCAGTCTGGTGCTGCTTCCGAACCTTGCTTGACCCTCGTTCAGGAACAGATTGCCCTCGGAATGAACCCAAATTCAGCTCTGTGCGCCTTCAGTCGACGGATGCACCGCGAAGACTGGTGACGACCAGGCGAGAGGGTTGCGCGGAGGGGATTAGACCGGACTCCTGAAGGCTAGAGCCCACCGCGGGCTGACCCCGTGAATCGGACGACGGACACACCTTGGTTAGATTCGGGATTCCCTTCCTGGCGATGCGGCAACTTACCGTTGCTACCCGTACGTAGGTTCGTCGCTTGCTTGCTTGCTACGAGAGCTCACGTACATAGCGACCGCGGCGCTGATCCCCTGTGTGCGACGTTGTCTGGATCGGCCCGAGAGTGGTCGGCAGCGTTGCATCTGCGAGCTCCTGCTCGGCTGCAACTCCAAGCCTCTGCGAGCGAGGGACAGCATGAGATCAAGGGCCGGGGAGGGGGCCCAGAGGGTGGGGGACTCGGGTGACTCGCTCGCGCGCTCGGCAGCAAGCACGCTGACAAGGTGGACCTGCCCACCGCACGGTTACTAAAAACGAGGGGGTGGGGGATATCTCTTGACTCGATCTGTATCAGGCGCTCGCTAGGGACATCGGCACACCGTCAGAGGCGAGAGGGCACTCTCCCCACCCAGACACACATCCATCAACGGAGTCGATCGGAGATTGCCCACGCACCGCCTGCCTTGCTTTTCGAGCTAGTACTTTTTTTATTTTTCGCCGCGGGCAAGGCTGTGCTGCGCTGCCCGCCTGTCCGTCCACCCGGCAGACGCAAGGGTCGTCGGTGTGGGCCAGCAAGCAGCCCGACGCGCCTCGGCCAATCAAAGAGGCTAGGCATGAGGATGCGGGCTTGCATCGCATCTGTGCCGCCTGCGCCAACCTGTACCTGTACCTGTACCGTACCACAAGAGCTGGCGCTGTGCCACGCTTAATTGCGTTGGCCCCTTGCCTCGCCCGTTCGCAGCCGCCTCGTCCTCTTACGGCCGGAGCCGCCAGCGACAAAGACGTGGCTTGACTTCCCTCTTCTGCCTCAGATAGGCCTTTTGAACGGCCTCTCGTCGCTTTGTTGGGCTACATCCGGGAGACGTCTTGACCTCGTGGTGTCCATGAAGAAGAATTAACGGCGCCACCATCACATACCACATCATGATATGGTCAGCAAGTCGCAGAACAATAACAGCGATATGTAGAACACGAAGGCCGGCGGTGGCTGCGTCCGAACCCGATCCCGACGTCGTCCTGCTCCGAGGGAAACCATGTCGGACGGAGATCTTCCAGGTCAAAGATGCGACGACGGTGGGGAACACTGCTCGACTCGGTGCCCGGAGTTCAGAGAAGCGTGCACTCTGTTGTCGTGACCTCGTTCGTCATCGTACCGATCGGGTTCACTCCTACACACAAAACCAGGGGATGTGACGACGTCCCGGCAAGGAGAGGGCGGCGACGGGCTTCCGCGTGTTCGCTTGGCCTGGCCTGGCCTGGCCTGGCACCGGCCATCCTCGGTGTCCAGGCGGTCATCAGGTCGAAGCGCTGTCTGAGCGGAACGCAGCACAGGTACAGTACCGACGTCACCTCGGCCACCCACCCAACAAAGTGGATCCGATGGGGCGAGGCGGAAAACCTTTTCCACTGCTGCCAGGGTTGGGCTGAGGGGGCTGCTGCTGCTGCTGCTTCTACGCTGAGCTCACGCCACCGTCGAATGAGGCTTGCTGGGGTTCCGCCTCTGTTTGTGAGGCGATCAGGTGGAGGCAGGGTGGGGGGATGGGCTCAGCACATGTTTGATCCTCGCACCCACGTCCGCACACGCTGTGAAGCCACACCCAAATGAACGAGGGTCGAAACCTCACCTCACGACGGCGGTGGACGTGTCCGCGTGCAACATGCGCCGGAACAACGATCCCGTCCTGACTCGGCTGAGGCTAGGCTGTGAGGCGAGACACGAGTCGACGTGCGTGCGCCGCGCTTCCTCTTTGCCTTGGCCCTGCCTGCTGTCTTTGTGAGCCGCCTGATCTGCTTCAGACGTGAGGCAGGGAGAGAGCCTCTTCCGTCCGTCGGCATGTGCGAGCGAGCGAGCAAGCACAGCGGGGCGGGGCGGGGCGGGGCGGGTGAATTCGTTTTTCCTTTTGACGGGCGCGCCCGAGGAGCATGCTGCGCATGCGCCGCGCCGCGCTGCGGTGTGCGTGGGCGGGTGCCTGCCAACATCGGCAGATCTCGCCTGCCTGTCCACCCTGCACGCACGTCTGTCGGCCCGTATGTCCGTGTGGCCGTCCGTGCTGCTCGGCAGCCTGTCTGTACGGCTTGCCTGGCCCGGCCTTGCCGAAGATCGGTCAATTGCGCTCCATACGCTCGTGCGCTACAGTACCTCATCCATGCTTACACAGCCTCGAACTCACCTCCGCGGACGCGGGTACCAGCACCTACAGTACGAGGTTGGAGAGCGACGAAGGGGAAAGGGATGAAGAAGAAAGAAAAAAGTCGCCGACGTCCGACCATGTGCTTGGCTTTGGCTTGCTTTCGCTGCGCTTCTCTCTTGCTTGCTTGCCAAGAACACGATACCGCGCGGAGCACATGCTCGACCCCTCTGCGTATGTCTCGGCATCGTCCGTCTTCACTCGCGAGAGTCGCAATTGGACAAGCACCATCTCTGGCCTCCCCTTGCGCTGCTTTTCCTCCCCGGGTGTCTGTATCTCCGTCCGCGAGTCTGTCGGGCTACATCTGTATGGCGGCGACGGCGACCAAAAAAGCAACGATAGATGCCAGGCCAGGCGCAGGAACGCACCAGAAGCTATGTATGGAGGCATCGCATGCTGCCAGCAGGCGGTCGGTTGCACGCCGTCGATCCCAAGCGAGGTCGAAAGGCCGAACCGACCGAAGAAGAGGAAGAAGAAGAAGAAAAATCCCTCAACTGCCGCCGTCGTCGCTGGGCAGGGCCGGGCCAGCTGGAAGAAAAGTCAGGAAGGATTACCGCTCATCCCCGTTTTTCTTTTGTGCCCGGATGCCAAGAAGGCCGCACAAGGCCGACCGGCACCGGCTCGAGCACGCGTTTGGGTTTTCGTCTCGTCCGAGCTCCTCTGGCCGTATGGACGGCATCGCCCGTATGTACTGTAACGTACGTCCAGGTGGATACCCGATGCCGCACCTAGCGTCACTGCCGAGGCACAGCCCCCCTTCTCCCTCTCCAGCATGATGGGCAAGCCTCCTTCGTTGTCTCTTAGATGCTCAAGTGATGGCTAAAAATATCGGCCACCTTGCCTTTCCCTCCTTCCCCTTTGCCTGCCAGCCTCCTTGCCTTTGACAACCGGCTAGTCGGCGATATCGAGATGGGGGTGACGAAACCGAGCAGCGGAATCGACAGACTCCCAACACCTACCCCTCTCCCTTTGGGCAAGCGAGTCGATCCAACGCACTGCAGAAGCCATGTCCCGAGAGAGTTCCGTTGGGGACCGCTCGCACCGCCGATCAGGTCCTAGCGTCCGTAGATATGCAGGCTAGGTGTGGAACTCAATCGAGCCGCAACTGATATGTGCGACGTTTGAGGCCGTCGTCGTACAGTAGCTGAAGAAGGGCGCAAGGTATCGCGGCGACTTTGAGTGCCTTGCCACCGAACCGAGTCAGAGTCGAGCCGACCATGCCGGCGCGGCATGCCAAGCCTTGCAGGCCGTCAGCCCGTCAAGGCGGGCGCGACCTCGTCTTCCTTTCCGTGGGACCCATGTCAAACGACGAGATGGCAGTTCTTCGCGAGCGAGTGCAGCGTTGTTGAGATCCGTGGCCGTTGCCAGACTGCGGGGAGAGAGACAGGGGAGGGGAGGGGCAGGCCGGTATGGTCGGCTCAGTGGGGGCAAGGGGCGAGGGGTTCCAGCTCTACAGGTACCTGATTGGCAGAAGGATGCCGTGGAAGGACAAGAACGGCGATACCATACCAATACCATACAGTGCGACCGTCCCGTTTCATCGTCTTGTGCACCTGTGTGTGGCGAGGGAAAGGCCTTTGCTTCAACGACGGAACACCCAACCAGCATGGTAGGGGGAATGGCTCGGCCAATTCTGACAGAGGAACCCACGACGACGACGACGATGACGAACCAAAACCGACCCCCTTTACCCGCTCCTCGGCGTGATCTCCGCGGCGACGCCGTCGCTGCAGACCCTTCTGTAACCCTCCTCGACCAGATCCCGGAAAGGACCAATGAGTGAGGGGGGACCAACGACAACGCGGGCTGTCCGGCTGGCTCCTCGACATCGCGCAAACCGTCGGAGTGGCAAAAACCCACGGCCCTGCCAGCCGTGCCAGGACAAGATGCCGCGCCTGCGTGCGTGGGATGCAAGATGCCGTTGTTGTGACCGTCCCAACCAAACTGTACAGGGACGTTTCGAGTTTCGCATCTTTCGACCTGGCCGACTGACCGACAGACGGCGTCTTGATCGGTGATATGCGATTCAGAAATGCTTGGCTTTCGTTGGAGCGAGACCGACGTCCCAGGCTGCGGCAGACCCATCGTTACTCGACATCGAAGCCTTCCCGCACCGCACCGCACCGCACCGCACCCTGCACCCGTCAAGATCCGCAGTCGGTCGCTGCTTGGCCTCGATCGATCCCGCGCGGCAGTCCGGCGGAGCTACTCGCGCGACTCGGTAGACGACAGGACAAACTCGTCGGCCGTCTCCCTCGACACGTCCGACTGGCGCGCCTCGTCCTCGTCCTCGGTCACCAGGCCCACTTCGAGTCGACCGGCCATGTGCTCGTCCCAGAACTGCGTGTGCTTGTTCATCGCCTCTTGCTTGAGCTGCCGGATGTAGCCGTTCCATCGGATCGCCTCTTCGTACTGTTCGTTTTTGGCGGCGACGGGGTTTCCATTGCAAACATCCATTCGTCGTTGCCCGCGGCCGTCGACGAGGTCAGCAGGACGTCTTGCGAACAGCAAAGGACAGAGGACAAGGACGTTGCGACCACGACCGCGACTCACCTCCTGTGCCACCCGCTTGGCCTCCTTGCAGCACAAGACCACCTTGGCGTACTCGCGCGAGCGAAGCAGGTACGAGATCGTGTCGAGCATCTCGACAAACGTCTTGGTCACGTCGTCCTCGGACTCGACGAGCCTCTTGAAGCCCTCGACCGGGTCGTCGGTGCCGATGCGGCTGCTGGGCTGAGTCAGTGGCAGGCCCTGCGATGCCTCCTCCGCCTTGATGGCCTCTTCGTCGCCGTCGCCGTCGCCGTCGTCGCCATGGCCCTCGGCCGCCGCCGCACCCGACGGTCTGTTGCGCCCCTCGTCCTCGTCCTCCGTCTCGCTGTCGTCGCCGTCGTCCATTCGGACAGCAGCGCCGCTCTCGCGCTTCGGCGCACCACCTTGACCCGCCTGCTGCTCGTCGATCTTGGTCTTCTTGGCATCGTGCCAGCCCTGGGCCTCCTGCCTCTGGCCGGCCTCGTGCGCCAGCCGCTTCTTTTTCTCAAAGCTGTTCTTGGGCGGGATGAAGCCGATCTTGAACCTCTCCTTGCAGCGCTTGAGGATGCCCTGCGAGCGCTGCGTCACCTCGACCGGGCGCCTAAAGTACTTGGTCAGCTCCGGGTGCGGGCCAGGCAGCTCGGTCGACTCTGGGTGGACGAAGCGGTGCTTGACGGCGTCCTTGAGCAGGTGGATGGCGGGGTTGAACGAGTCGAGGATGTTGAACCACTGCCCGTTTTCGCCCGTCCCGCCGTCGACCTCCATGAGGTCGAGCGAGTCGACAAACTCGTCAAACAACTCCTGATCCTCGGCCGTCGGGATCGACGGGCCCTCGAACAGCTCGTCGCCCTCCTTGGTGATGATGCGGTCGAGCGGCGGGAAGATGAAACGGCGGTAGTCCTCGCGGAACGGCACGCGCGAGTAGTAGAAGCAGTTGTAGTCTTTCCCGGGGTAGGGCCATAGCACGCCCAGCTGCATCGTTTTGGATCCATCGCAGCAGGCGGCCCGGAAGAGCGTTAGTTTCTCTGAGCACCATCGACCAGCCCTCTGCGTATCCTGTCGACTCACCTCGGGCTCCGCGTGCTGACGGCGCACCAGCCTGACGACGGCCATCAGCTCGAGCTCGTGCATGCCGCGGACCAGACTCGCGAGCTGGATTTGCGCCTTGGTGTTGTTGAGGTCCGGGAAGACGAACCAGATCTGGTCGAGGCTGTACTCGCGGCGGTACTGATCGACGACAGCGACGGGAACGCAAGCAGAATCGACTCGCCCATCAGCCCTGCTGAATACCACGATGGGCTTCGCGACGGCCACAGCCACTCACCGCCTCAGACTTGACAAAGTGCAGGATCTCGAGGCCAGGCATCGTGTCCATCTGACCAAAGGCCTCGTCGGGGACGGGGATCAACGATGCGCCCAGCTTCCACGCACGCGTGAACTTGGCCACCGACTCCTCGGGCAGCGGCTGTGCGGTCTGGCCTTTGCCCTTTTCCACGCGGCCAATGTCCTCGAGCAGGAAGTGGTCGCGCCTCGTCTCGGCCCGGTACGAGGGCACGGGCGCAGGCTCGTCGTCGGCCTCGCCCTTGGCCAGCGCCGGCGTGCTGCTCGGCACCAGCTCCTGCATCCTGGTCTCCTGCATCTCCCTCTCGATCCTGGCTCCGGCGCTTTCCTGGGCCAGCTTGCTGATCTTTGACTGCGTCATGGGCCGCTGCGGCTCGGTCATCTTGTACATGGCGATCGGGATCGCAATCGCCTCTTTGCTGGCGAGGTCCTTGGGATCGCCGAAGGAGAGCGTAGACTTGGATGGCGACGGGCTCGTCAGCTGGACATTGGGCAGGCTGGCCTGCTCGATGGCATCCTGCGCCGTGGCGATCAGCCCGGTGTCGATGCCGGCGAGGAAATCGTGCCAGAATCCCTCGTTGGCTCGCTGTTGCGGTCGGAAGCACAGGAGAGGAGAGACAGAGGGCAGCGTCAGCGAGCCAGTCGACGGGAGCGACTGCTTCGAGATGCTGCGGCCAGGCGTCGGCCGGTTGCCCACCTTGGTCGCGTCCTTGTTCTCCTCGACAAAGCCAACGTCTTCGTCGTCAAAGTCGACGCCGCTGTTTCGATCCCGAGGGGCGATACATAGCCCGGTCAGCCCCGCCCATCGCTCTGGGTCGGCACGCCACGCTCGGAGGACGGACTCACAGCACGCGGACGTTGATATGCTCCGTCTTGATCTTGCCCTTGATGTCGTCGCTGCCGAGCCAGCTGAAGTTGGACTTTCCGTCGGTGATGAGGTAGATCATCCTAGTCCACGTGCTCTTCTGCGACTCCTTGATGCCTCCGCGGTCGGGGCAGGTGGAGAGCTGGATGGCGTCGACCAAAGCTGCCAGCGCTGTGGCGGTGTGGGCAGGAAGCACGGGCGGCCGACCGAGCGCACAGAGGCGCAGCATCAGCATCTGCCGAGGTCTCCTTTCACGCACGTCGAGCCAGGTCGCCTCGCTAAGCACGGCGACCACTTACGGTCTGCTGGTGGCGCTCTGTCGTTTTCGCCGACCGCCCGCAGGCTCTGTACGAGGTCGAGGGTGTCGAGCGTGGGCACGTTGAGGCGGAAGATCTCGTCGATGCCGTCGTAGCCCTCGCTGTAGCCTCCATGGTCGACGACAGTGTTGTTAGTGCCTGTGTCGAGGAGATCAGAAAGAGTGGCGTGAAGAGCATGGAGGAGATGCGTCAGGCGGTCACGACACGGAGTTCATCCGGCGCGAGAAGGATGCGGTACCCACGCGGCGAGCCATAGGTGATGAGGGCCACCTTGGTCGTCTTGAGGCCTCTCAGGATCTGGTACGGGACGGGAGTGCGAGAATAGAGCGAGCAGGAGCATAAGCTCTGGACCGGTGGGCAGCACGACAACGACCTGCGGCTGCTGTGCCACTCACGATCTCGACGATCCTGGCCGAGATGAACTCGCAGACCCACTGGAGGTCGGTCGTCTTCCTCTCTTTGACCTCGACGCCCGAGTAGGGCTTGAACACCTTTTCGTATACGGTGCGGGCCGAGCCCATGGACGCCGATATGTCCACGACGAAGATGGTGAGCGAGTTGCGGACCACCTGCGGGCGGGGCAGGAAGGAGGGAATGCCGAGGGTGAATCAGTGTCGGTGGATGCCGCACCACTGCATGGCTGACAGCTGAGAGGTTGTACTGACACTCATGACGAACACGATGGCGATGAACTGCCACGGGAGTTACTGCTGGCGATGTGGCCTGGTCTGCGGACGAGGCCCGCGAGGCGATCAGTGGCCCAGCCTTTCTTCTCGATCGGTCAGCTGCTGAGCGGGCTGGAGTGGGTGAGAATCGACGTCGTCTCGATCGTGGGTATGGTGCGTGAGTCGGCAGCCAGGACGGCGGGCGACGAGGCCGATGCGGGGACCAAGGATGGGGCAAGGCAGGTGCAAGGGACGGGGGATGGGAGTCGGAAGGAAGGAAAGGCGGGACGCGGCCATGTGTTGGTGTGGAGGCGCCCGGCCGCCCGCGCGCTTTCTGATTTTTGGCAGGCGGCGCAGCGAGCCCAGCTTTTCCCGCCGCCCGCGCCAGGCTCGCGTCCCCACCGCCGCCCGCGTAGAGTGGGACAGGCCAGGCGGCGGCCCAGCCGCAGCAGCCAGCGACCGCCCATCAAGCGCGCAGCACAGCCGATTGCTCATACGCACCACAGGGCCAGCAAAGAAGTCAGAGCTCAGACTGTCACTCTAGTAAGACATGCACCTGCACGCATGCAACGCTGGACCAGCGGCCACGCTGGATAGGCTACATGGCCCGCAGCCCGCCTAGTATCGAGCCGGGCCCAGCAGGTTGACGGCCGCCTTGGTAGGCTCCTTTTCCTCTTTCTGCGGCGGCGCAAGAGGGGCACGAGATGCCGTCAAGAGGGGAGAGCCGGACGAGTGGACTTCGGAGTCAGCGGTCGGTCCTTGCACTATGCAGCTCCTCCACGACGACAAAAACTCACGATGAGGCCCGAGATCTGCTTGAACTTGGGGTGCGACGCGTCGACTGGCGAGAGAGGGACGAACGGACGGCAGACACAGGACATACTCGCATCAGAGCCGGACCTTACAAGGCTGACAGGGCGCAGAGCGGGAAGACACGCCGACGTACCAAGGAGCTGGAAAAGGATCGACTCCGAGGTCGTCACCTGAGCGCCGGCGCTGCGCATGCGCTGCGAGGCCGAGGAGATGAAACACAAAGGAGCCCGTGTCAGCCCGGCGTCCGCTCGAGCATCAGTGATACGAATCGGGTTGCGGCACTCACCTCGAGGGCGACCTCGATCTCGCCGACGTTGCAGCTGCTGACACCATCCTTGATCACGTGCACGTCGATGCCCTTGTCGAGCAGGTCGAGGGTGCTCTGCAGCACGCACACATGCGACTCTGTAGTGGGGAGGATGACGTGGGATGCAGACAGAAGCAAGGCGAGGGACGGAGGCGACGGTAGGACGGTGGATGAGCAAGAGCGAGTCGTGGCACGTTATCGACGGGCAACGCACCGATGCCAAAGATGACGATGTGCTTGATGTCGCCGGCCTGCTTGAGCCACTGATCAGTGAGGCCGGGGACGTCCATGCTGAAGCGCGTCTTGGGGTGGACCGCCTGCGCCGAGAGCGGGGGCAGCTGGGCGATGAGGTCCGAGAGGGGCGAGACGGTGGATCCGAGGGCTGTCGTCGAGGGCCGCCGCAGCAGCGAGGATCGGGGATCAGAGGAGGTGGTGGCAGCTGGAATCAGCCTCGACAACGTTGCTGTAGCGCGACTTGGGGCTGCTGTCAGCGAGTAGCAAGGGGTGCGCACCCTTTGGGTTCTGTTCGGTGGTGAATACGGGCACCTCGAGGATCTTTGCGGCCTTGAGCATCTTGGCCGAAGTGTTGACGATGTGGTCAAAGTTGGCGATGGCCGTCCTGTGGCGGGTCGAGAGGGCGACGAGGTTCAGCAGGGCCGGTTAGCCGAGTGCCTAGAGAGGAGAGATCAGCGATGCTGGCATAGCTAGACTCACTTGAACTGGGTGCGTGGCCGGGGTGGGCAGGCAGGAGTCGGGTCCAAGGGTCAAGGGTCAAAGGAGGTGAGCGGAAGCAGTCAGGAGGGTCGCTGACCTGGCATACGCAGTGGCCACTCACCCTCTCCTGGATATCGCTGAGGTGGGTTGCAGAAGGCAAGAGGAGGTCAGATCGTGGTGAGCGACTGCTACTGCTGTGTGCAAGCGCTTGCGTGTGCGCATCGGCCGGGCCGGAGCGACGACCTCACCAGACAAAGAAGGCCGTCTTTGGCAGCTCGATGCGGACGGTGCGGACGGCGGCGGACATGATGAGCTAGAGTGATGGGCAGCGTCAAGTGTCAAATGTGGTGAAGAGATGGAGTCCAGATGGTGGCTGGGTGTGGATCGTCGTCGGGAGGAGGGACGGTTGGCCCGGCCAGGCCAGGCCAGTTGCGTCAAGGCAGCCCGGAGCAGCCGGCCTTCCGGGCCCGCCAAAGTGCGGGGAAATGCCGGCAGCGGAGGCGGGGAGCTCGGGCCATGCAAGGCCTGCCTCGCCTGGCCTCGCCTGGCCTCATCTTGCCCTGCCTGCTGCTGTGCGGATCCGCAGACGACGGCCACCGCCAGACAAGAAAAGTGGAGGCGGGTCTGGCACGCTGGGCTGGCGCGTCACGTAGGGCAGGGCCTGGCCGGTCTCGGGCAGACCGAAGAGGGGTCGCGTCTTGGGTCGCCCCTGCCTAGCTCTGCCTGGCTCAGGTCAGAGTCGGGGCGCGCCCGATGTTGGATTTCCTTCTAACGCGGCTGCTTCCCGAGACCGGACGGAGAGGCTGCGCTACGCCCAGCCCGCTTTCTACTCCTCGCAGCTCGAATACCAACGATAGACGCGAGCGGACTGGCATGCGGCCCGATCCGGCTTGGCAGATACAGCAGCAGAGAGGCGAAGCGACGACCAGCGACGAGCAGATGGCAACGGAGGGAGGGCCAGGGCAGGGAGCGCGGAGGGCCCGAGGCAGGCCTCGTGGCAGCTGGCGACCCACGAAGAAGTGAGGTGAGTGGACTTCCACGGCGACGGCGACCAGCACACGATCTGTAGGCCAAAGCCAGAGGCTGGGGCATGCCAAAAGGGGCGACGAGGTGTATGTGCGTACGTCCGTGTGCAGGCGGCCTGACCCGGATCCCTTTGGCAGCGCGCGCGCTCGATCTCTGGTCGACGACCGAAAGAGCAACAGCGCGCAACAGAAGACGCAAAACAGGCAGCGTGCGAGCGGCAGATAGACAAGTAGAGGGCGACAGAGAGCGAGAGCGAGAGCGAGAGCCACGACCCACGGCGCACGCACAACCAACCACGCGCAGCCCCCTCTCAGCAGCCCAGCTGGCTGGCTGGAAGGCAGGCAGGCAAGCAGGCAGGCCATCGGCATCGGCATCGGCCAGGGCATGTGGCGTCGACGGCGCAATCTGCCCTCTACGTCGGTCTTTCCTCGCTTCCCTCACCGCCACCATCACCACCACCATCACCACCACCATCACCACACCCGCCCTCCGGTATTGCAATCTCGCTCCATCTTGCCGCTCCCCTCGCCTCCCATCGCTTGCCTCCTAGCCCTCCGTCTTCCTCCTTCTCCTTCTCTGTAAACAACCCGGCCGGGTCATCCACCTCCGACAGCCACACGCTCGCCACTTCCGTCCCTGCACAGTCCCCCGTTCTCGCTCGTCTGCCAGCCCGACCCCTCATCTCTTCTCCAGCATCGACGCCGTCCGCGCCCGAACCGCATCGGCATCGCATCCCAATGACCTCACAGCTCCGTCGCTCCATCTGAGTCTCTGGCGCCCCTGCTCTCCTACCTGGTGGCGCTCACGACGCTCGACTTTGCCCCGAGCGCCCGTCATATAGGCCAGGTGGCCGTGCGCACCTCGAGCTGCCATCCACCAACGCCGCCACCCGTCCGCCGCCCCAGCTGCTGCTGCCGCCATGATCGTCATTCCTCTTCCCTCCATGCCGGGCATCCGCCTCCCGGCAGAAGACCCCTCGCCCAACGCCCGCGGTGCGTTGCGCGATGATCTCCGACCCGCCGCTGGCCCAGCCTCTGGCACCCGGTCGCGATCCAGCTCCTTTGCTGCCGATGACCAGTCCAGGTCCACCGGCTCCTCTAGGTCCAACTCTCGCCGCTCGACGCCCAGGGCCAACAGCGCCGCCTTTGCCAAAGGAGCGCACCATCCTGCCCCCACCGTCGACCCCATCACGGGCGTCGAGCTCGACTCGCCCCACGAGGATCCGCGCGCACTCAAGTACGAGCTGCCCTCCGACATCCCTGTGCCGTCGTTCGGCAAGAGGACAAAGGACCTCGAGCGCGACCTCGGGCGCCTCTACGAGGCCGTCGCCGGCGCTCGCCGCATCGCCGTCATCTGCGGCGCGGGCATCTCGGTCTCGTCGCCCGCCAACATCCCCGACTTCCGCTCCGCCACCGGCCTCTTCAAGAGGCTCAAGGAGCAGCACCCCACCGCCGGCCTCTCGAGCGGCAAGGACCTCTTTGACGCGCGCCTCTTTAGCTCCGAGTCGACCTCGGCCCTCTTCTACTCGATGATTGCCGAGCTCAAGGGCCTCGCAGACCAGGCGCAGCCCACCATCTTCCACCGCTTCCTTAAGCGCCTTGACGAAGAGGGCCGCCTGCAGCGCGTCTACACGCAAAACATCGACGGCCTCGAGCAAAAGGCGGGCCTCACCTTTGGCCTCGGCGAGACTGGCGACAGCACCTCGACGTTCCGCGCGCTGGGCAAGAGGAAGCGCCAGGGCGGAGGCGCCGCGGGTGCGGGCGGATGGTCGCGCTCCAAGTCCGACTCGGCCCTGCTCGCCTCGAAGCGCGAAGAGGGCGAGCCCATGTTCCCGCGCACCATCCCACTCCACGGCACTCTCCAGACGCTCACCTGCGCCCTCTGCTCGCACAAGGTCATCATGGGCGACACAACCCAGGCCGACGTCGTGCAGCCCGACAGGGAGCCCACCGAGCTCATCACGGCGTTCACGCCCCAGGAGACCCTCGACGCGCTCGAGCTGCTCAAGCAGGGCGAGGCGGTGCCGTGCCCCAAGTGCACCACCGAGGACGAGGTGCGCCAGGTCGCCGGGCTCCGCTCGCGTGGCGTCGGCCGCATGAAGACCGACGTCGTCCTCTACGGCGGCCAGAACGAGGGCGCAGAGCGCGTCGGCGAGTGCCTGCAGCGTGATATCCTCGGCCTGCGCGACCCATTCGAGACCGCCGTGCCCGAGAGCCTGCGCGAGATCCGCGCCCGCGAGCGCAAGGAGAAGCGGGAGGCCGACAAGCGCATGCAGGACGAGGAAAAGGCGCGTGCCGCCGCCGCCGCCGCCGCTGCCCGCGAGGCCGTCAAGGCGGAGGGTACGGACGACTCGTTCGATGCCGCGCTCGTTGAGACTCAGCTGGGCGGCGAGGCCGATCCGGACACGTCGATCTGCGACGTCTCGATGGACAAGGACGACATCCTCGCTCGCGCCTTTGAGGAGGACGACGAGCCAAAGGACGAGCGAAAGCCTGTCGGGCTGGCGCCGATCGCCGAGGATGCCTCGGTCAAGTTCGAGGAGCCAGCCAAGCCCGCCCGTCCCCAGCGTGCGCCGCGCGCCGCGCGCCTCAAGCCGCTGCCGCCGGATCTGCTCATCGTGGCCGGCACGAGCCTCAAGGTCCCCGGCACCAAGCGCATCGTGCGCGAGTTTGCCAAGGCCTGCCACGCCCGCGACACGCGCTACTACCACACCGACTCGAACGATGACGAGGATGATGACAACGACGAAGGCGACGGCGATGACGAGGGCAAGCCGGGCAAGGGCAAGGGCCGACGCCGCACGCGCTCCCGGAGCGCTTCGGCGGACAAGGAAGGCGCTGCCGGGGCGGGGGGCCAGGACTCGGATGAGGACGACGACGACGACGACGACCCCAACGCGCCGATCCGCACCATCCTCCTGAACTACGACTTCCCCGTGCCCGCGGCCCAGTGGGAGGACGTGTTCGACGTCTGGGTGCAGGGCGACCTGCAGCGAGCCGCGCTTGGCGTCTTTCCGCCCCGCGAGGTCGTTCCCGGGGCCAGCGTCGTACAGCGTGAGATCGAGAGCGTCTGCTCGCAGTACTCATGGCAGGCGCTCAAGATGGCGCTCGACGAGCAGCGGGCGATGTCGAAGAAGAAGGGGCGCAAGGGTGCGACGGCGAGGGGCTCGGCCTCGATGTCGAGGAGCGTCTCGAGGGACGACGGCGATGTCCTGAACGGCACCGCCCCTGCTTCCCGGGCGTTCCCCGGCCGCGCATCGGGTCGGACCTGGGGCCGCAGCCAGTCAGAGTCGGTCATCAAGCGGCAGCGGGCCTCGGAGATTGGCGAGGCTTCAAAGCCGACGGCGGCGGCCGCCAAGGGCAGAGCGGGCAGCATGAAGCGGACGACGTCGAAGAAGTCTGCGCCGACATCTGCTGCGGCCGCTACTGCCACCGCGGCGTCGACCAAAGCGGATGCCCGGGCCAATGCCAAAGACAACAGTAAGGGCAACGGCGACGGCAACGGCAAGGGCGGCTCGGGAAAAGGTAGAGGCGGTGTCGGGCAGAAGGGTGCTCGTACAGCGACGACGACGACGATCAGCAGCGGCCGCAGAGGCTCCGCCGGCGTGGCAGCAGCATCAGCGGCAGCGGTCGACAGCGACTCGGGCTTGAGCGACCTGAGCAGCGTGAGCGGCCACCATGCCGCTTCGACCGGGTTCATTGCCAGCTGCAGCCGCAGCGGCGGCAAGCGCCTCGAGCGCGAGAAGCTGGTCGCCGTCGTCGTCACGAGCTCCACGGCACCGCCTACGCCTCCACCTTCAATGCCCAGCGCAGAGAGCACACCCGAGCCCTCCGAATCGCCGTCGTCGTTGTTGCAGCAGCAGAGGCAGCAGCAGCACTGCACTCCCAAGCAGCCCAGGAGCTCGCTGGGTCGCTTCGTCAAGAGCCCCGCTGCCGATGCCGATGTTGATGCGGCGGTGGCGGACGGCACCCAGGCTGATGGCCTCCCGTCGCTGCCGACAAAGAGGACCTTGACGCGCACCCGCTCCCGAGGTGCGCGCTGAGCGGGGAATGCCGCGCCAGCAGAAACGGATCATCGCGTGTCGGCGACTCTCGTTGCTTGCCTGCGCCACATCCTTTCGACGACGGCCCGTTGCCGTCGCCTTCGCTGGTGTTACTTTGCATCGTGGCGCTCCGTTGAAGTGCCACGCCCGTGTCTCATTGCCGTTCCATCTCGTCGCCGAGGGTGCATCCATGTGCCTCGACGCAACGGACGCGGACCTTTGCTTTCCCATCCTACCCTATCCTATCCACACCAATCCTCACCGGTCCTACCCTATCAACCACTGCATATCCATTTTTGCCCCTATGCCAAAGCGACCTGCACCGATTGCGCTACGAAGGCGAAGCGATGCCCCCGTTGTCGTCGTCGTCGTCGTCATCGTCGATCAATTCATCCACATCCACGTCCTCCTCCTCCTCCCTTTTCTCTTCCACCTTGGCCGTCGTGGCGGCGGGAAGCAACGGGACGCTACGTGCCTCGAGAAAGGTGAGCGTATCGAGGTCGATGCATCGGAACTCGACGCGTCTCGTCTCGTCGTCTTCCACGTCGGGTTCTACCTTGATGTCGTCGGATGCGGATGCGCCGGCACGACGACGATGACGACGGGAGAGGAACTCGAGGAAGCGAGCAAGGTGACGCAGTATCTGGGCCTTGTCGTTCAGAAAGTGGGTCGTGACCCGCGCCGAAGTCGAGGGGGATACGAAGAAAAAAGTCAGATCGTCGTACACGTCCCCCTCCCCGGCGACGTCGGTGTCTGTCGTCGACGAGGGTTGGGCGGGAAGAGAGGTCGTATCGCGATTCAGGACGGCGGCGCAAGGGTCTCGACTCGAGCGTCCCTCTTCGACCTTGATCGCATCGCCAGAGGTGGCGTTAGACTCCACCTTGATGTTGGCGATGTCGACGAGAGGTCGTGATGGATCTGCGACGACGGTGTCGGTGTTGGAGGATGCTCCTTGACGACGGTGGACAAAGACAAAGGGCAGGAGGCCGTACCCGCTGTCGTCCTTGACGTCGTCCTTCTTTACGCTCTTCCTCTTGGGCGGCGTCTCGCCCTTGTTCCTCGTCGACTTTGTCCTGCTCCCCCTGGCGCCTTGTGCGGCGGCATCGGGATCGAAAGCGAGCAACATAGATGTGGGGATATCCAACGTGATCCTCGCCGCCCCCTCACTTCCATCATGGCCGGGGGGACAGCGCTTGAGGCACTTGGACACGACCTCTGCGATGCCCTTGCCGACAAAGGCGACGGTGCGCGGCCGCCACCGGTCCACTTTGCGGAGAAATACGGGCACGCCGGCGTCCATCTCGTGTCGGGGCAGCTCCGACGCCTCTACCGTGGGGCGCTGGCCGATGTTGGTCAGGCCGAGGGAAAAGGGGCGGAGGGTGGGGAAGGTGTGGTCCTCGTCGGGCCTGAAGCGGCGCGAGGTGAGGCCGGACTGGTGTAGGACGGGGTAGAAGTGGTTTGTGGGCCCTGCAAAGTGGTGTTGGAGCGCCGACGAGGTCAGACCGGGGTTGATGCCGCACAGCAGGACTGGTGAGGCCGAGGAGGGGCGAGAAAGCGTGAAGGAGAGAGAGAGGAAGGGGAGAGGGGATCAGTCAGTCCGGCCGGCCGGAGCCATGACGTGGAAGAAGGTCGAAGACATGCGCTGGGACTCACCGTGGTTGCGCGGCGAGATGTGGTCCGGCACGCCATGGTACTGGGCGTACTTGCTTCCCTCTGCAGATGCGGGGTCGTCGACTGTGCGCTTGATGCGTTTCCTCTTCTTTGAGGGCGAAGCGGAGGCGGATGGATCGGCAGAGTGCGAGCGGGTTCGAGAGGTAGAGGCTGCCGAGGAGCGCGCATGTGGCTCTGGGGACGACGACGGTGCGACGAGGGAGGCGTAGGGGACGGTGGGGACGGGTTTGCGTGGGCTGCGTCGTGGTGCGCGGGCTGAGGGCGAAGGCGAAGGTGAGGGCGAGGCGGGTAGCGTGTAGGCGTAGGAATGCGCAAAGTGGGCGGGTAGCCTGGGCGGTGGTGTGTCTGGCGAGTCCATGGCGGTGAATGGCGGCGGTGAATGGCGGCGGTGGTGGTGGTGGTGATGGTGGTGTTGGTGATGGTGTTGGTGTTGGTTGGGTGGCGACTCCCTCGGACTGACCGACTGACTGAGCCTCGATGGCCGGCAACCCTTGATGCCTCCACCCTTTGGGTCGACCTCTTTTTCTGCCGCGCCGTTGCGGCATCTTCTCACCACCACCACCACCACCACCACCACCCCTCGTCCTTTTGCCACCTTAATCCGCCACGGCTTGGCACAGCGCAATGCCAGCTCCATTAGTAGCAGGCTACGACTCCGACTCCGACTCCGACTCGGACACGGGAGCGGCTTCCAATGGCCACGCCACCATCAACCTACCACCGCCATCGCACCCCTCGACAGCCACAGCACCAGCACCCGCAGCCACGCCCTCTGGATCCAAGCTAGGGCTACCACCACCAAAGCACACGTCGTCCCTGCCTCCCCCGACGACGACGACGAGCAGATCGAGCGGTCTGGCCCTCCCACCGCCCAAAAACTCTGGTCCCGCCGCCTCGGCCTCCTCTCGCGCAGCCGCAAAGAGAAAGGCAGAGGCCCGCACCGCCAAGCTCCAGATCCGCATCGAGTCCCTCGACGATGACAACGACAACAACGACGACAACGGCGCCGACGGCGACGAGGATGCAGCGCAGCCAGAGCGTAAGAAACCTCGTCCCGCCGCTTCGGCATCGTCCCACGCCCTCTTTGGCATGCTCCCCGCCCCTAAGCGGCCCGACCAGATCCAACGGGAAAAGAAGCTCGAGGCCGAGAAAAAGGCCAGGGAGGGGGCGCTCCGCATCGTCGAGAGCCATGATGGCCAGGACGACGACGACGGCGGCCCTCCTGCCGACTCTGCACTCGCTACCGACGCAGCAGCCGCACAGAAGAAGGGCAAAGGCAACGCCGACTTTCGCGCCATGCTCGGACTCAAACCCGCCGCCGCCAAACCCAAGCCCCCAGCTCTGCCGGCGGCCAAGCCAGCACCAGCATCACCAGCAGGCGAAACCGCATCCACTAGGCCAGCAGCGATATCTGCGTCTTCTCTGTCGACCCTGCCGAAAGCGGACTCCAGCTTGCCAGAGGCAACTGGCAGCTCTACAGACAAGCCGAGCTCGTCTGGCAAGGCAGTCGCGCCGCTCAACTTTTTTTCGATCGGTGAGTCGGTCATGTCCACGGTTGGTCGATGGTGCGCTGGATCTGAGCTGAGCGAGCCACTGCCTTTTCTCTGATGCAACGACTAAGCAGACGAGGCAGCGGGCCCTTCCGCCGCTCCAAGCAGCGGCCCACCAAGGGCTGCACCGAAGGCGACGAGCTTTGCCATCTCGGCTGCACCCACAATAGAGGAAGTGGCGCAGGCGACAGACGCCGACGATGGGTCGACCGAGGCCGAGGTGGCCTACCGGGGCTGGCAGCAGGATCCCGACGGGACGTGGGTTCCCGTCACTCCCGAGGCGCAGGCGGCCTACGCGGCCTGGCAGGCGTCGCAGGAGACGGAGGCGGCCATGGCGCAGGCGTTTGACGATCCCAGCCGACGGCGGCACAACAACGGCGGCGGCGGCGGAGGGTTCGACATCGGCGAGCTGGCCAAGGCCGGGCTGCGGGAGGAGGACCTGGCCAACGTCGACGCGAGCCGGCTCGCCTCGTGGAGCGGCGTTACGAGCGGCGGCGGCGGGCTGGATGCGAGGTACGCGAGCGCGGCTGCCGAGTCGGCGGCGGCTGCTGGCGGTGGTGGGGCTGCATCGTCGTCGTCTTCGGCGGCGAGCAAGAAGATGGACAAGATGACGGGGCAGCGGGCGAGGCAAAAGGGCCAGCTGACGTCGCTGCTGGCGCACGCCGAGGAGAAGCGCGGGCAGCTCGAGGAGAAGTGGGCGAGGGGCAAGACCAAGGGGCAGGCGTCGGCGGCCAAATACGGCTTCCGCTGAGCGTGTGCTGCGGCGTCGGGCCCTGTCTTTGGCAATGCGGAGATGGCTGCCGAGGCTGTCTGGTCCGAGGACCGTTGGTAGTGCTAGCTGTGTGTGCTGTACCGAATGAGGGATCACCGAAGTGCGCGGACCAGATAGGAGCGTCGTGAGGGTTGTGTGAGCCGAGCGGGGCCCAATGGCGGGTTGGTTGGTTGCTGAGGCTGAGGAACGGCGCTGCGCACGAGCCACGCCTCGCCTTGGCTGCCTCAAGGCCATTCAGCACAGCGCGGCGCAGCGCGGCGCAGCAGCTAAACAGCGGCCAGGCGGCTCGGCGACATCCATCGAGGTTGGAACCCTTTCCTACTGGTCCACCACCACCACCTCGCCCTCACTCTTCTCCTACTGCGCTCATCACTCGACTCTGACGGAAGCAGGCGTCTGGTGGCACTGCGTCCATCCACCCCAAACGGCCACACCCGCCCACGCGGTCGGCCCTCGCCCAGCGCGTCCACTCGACCTCGTCGCGCCGTCAGTGGCCCACGATGAACGCCTACCCGCCAGAGCTGCTATGCCACCACTATCCTTGCATGCTCGTGGCCGGCCTGCTCCCCATACCCGCCGCATCGACTTCCACCCCTTCCCAGGTTCCATCAGCAGGCGCACAGCAACCAGCCGCATCCGCACCAGCACAACCACCACCACCAGCGACACAGACAACCCCACCCTCTGATGCGACAACACCGCCGCCCACCAGGCCAGACGACAACGGCACAGAAGCCGCCACCACGGCCTCAGCAGCACCGATTGCGGATCCTGCAGCTGCCCGCACAGAAGACGCCGCCGACCCACGCAGCAGCAAGGATGGAGGGCATCCAGCCCATGCCTACCCGGACCTCTGCCAGAGCCTGGCTGAAATCTTCAATGCCCGCGGCTCCAATCTGGTCTGGGATCCGGCTCGAGCCCAGTCCACCGTCTTCCACTCGGTCCTCGTACAGCAAAACATCCGCCTGCCCCCTGCAAAGACCAGGCTCAGCCCGAGGACGGCCAACCCGGCAGCGCCCCCATCGCCCGCCTCAAACAGCGGCACGGCGTCCGCCTCGGCCTCGCCCGAGACGAGCGCAAAGAGTCCAGGTAGCTCCAGCAAACAGCTCCCGCCCACCAACGACGCCGCATCCTCCCTGGCTTCCATGGCGCCCCGCAGCCCGCTCTCGCCCCTCCACCCCGCCGGCCCGCTCTTTCCCGACGGCCTGATCGCCCCCATCTGGGCGCGCAAGCACCGCGAGATGATCCCTGCCGTCTTTGTGTCGTTCTTCTGCCTCGCAGAGAAGCCAGGGGGCCCGCGAGCCGAGCAGACGGCCGAGACGGGCGCCTTCCTGCGCAGGCACGACGAGGAGCTCATCCGCCAGATTGAGCAGCGTAAGCGCTCCCTCACCGAGCGCGGCATCAAGATGACCGTCGTGCTCCTCACCAGCCGCGGAATGCTCGAGGACCCGCTGCTCGAGGGCCGCCTCAGCTACGTGCGGCGCACCTCGGGCCTCGACTCCAAGGCGAGCCTCTTTGTCCTGACGCCCGTGTCCAAGCAGGAGCTCAACGAGTTTGTCACCAGCCTCCACCGGGCGCTCCACGACTCGGCCGTCGACTTCTACCGCGAACACGCCCGCAGGGTCCGCCGCAAGCGCGCTCGCTACCCGCCGCCGCCCTCGGTCATCCAGCCCATCCTGTCTGCTGCCGCCGCGCTGGCGCCCAAGCCGGTCGACCTCGTCCCGCTCTCGAGAGAAGGCTGGATCGTGCGGGCAGAGTACAAGCTGGCCACGTTTGCCGAGCTGCAGGGCGACAACGACGAGGCGCTGCAGCGGTACCAGGAGGCGTACGACGTCCTCTCGGGGCCTTGCCTCGGCAGCACCATGATGCTCCCGCCGCGCACCAAGCGCTGGGCCGAGGCAAAGGTCCTCGCAGACACCCTCAGCATCAAGATCGCCAAGCTCCACCTCTACCGGGACGATGGCGCCGCCGCCGTTAGGCAGCTGCACCGGCACCTCCACCGGTTCACTGAACTGAGTACGGGGTGGGGGATCGGGAGCATGACGTTCGAATACTGGAGCTGGCTCTGCAAACAGTGAGTTACGCCGTCGGAGCCCAGATCATCGTGGCCGGCTGGAGCTAGCAGTGACTGACGACGTCATTGGCTCTGGTGCAAATCCCGCACAGATACCGAATGTTCGCCGACCTGATGGACGCCGCCACGCGGAGCCCGAGCTCGTCGCCGGTGCCGCCCTTTTCGCTGCCGACGCACGCCCCGCCGCTGCCTTCGAAGCTGCTGCACCCCGACGTCCTGTCCATGCTCCAGGCGGGCATGCCGGCGCCTCACGGCATGATGACGCCGACAGCCGAGGCGGCTGCGCTGGGCGTCTCGCCGGCCGCGCTCATCCAGGGGCCAGGCACTTTCTACTACCTCGCCGCACTGTGCACGCTCGAGCGGAGAGATCGTTTCCACAAGCTCGTGGCCGCCGAGCAGCTTTCGGAGGAAGATGTGAACAAGCACCCTTCCCTGTCGCACGAGCAAAAGGTCGACTACACGGCGCAGATTACAGAGGTACGTGCGGCAAGCCTCTGCCGAGCCCCGGATCGTGAGCGACAGCAGCTGATCAGCCGGTCTCCACCATCCCTTTGCGCGCATGCCTCCTCACCTCTGCTCAGCAACTGACGCGGGCGTACGATTGCTTCAAGCGAACCAAGATGGCGCGGCTGTCGCTCATGGTGGCGTCCAAGATCGCGCTCGTCTACCTCGAGGGCGGCAAGCACGAGATGGCGCTGCGCTTCCTCGAACGGATCCTGCGCAGCTTCCGCATCGAGGGCTGCCACGCCATCCAAGCCTGGCTCACGCAGCTCGCCGCGGGGTGCGCCGTGCACATCGGCGACATCGAGAGCTCCATATGCCTCCTCTCGGACCTGCTCCAGATGCGGCTCGACATCCCCGAACGCGACCGCGCCGCCGCCGAGGCACGATTGGTTGCCATCCTCGAGGGCGATGCGGCGCTGCCGGAGGGGAAGAGTCCCGTGCGCATCGAGAGCGACGGCACCAAGGGCCTCGTCGTCGTCGAACCGGTCTTCCTCGACGAGTCGGTCGAGGTCGGTGCGCCAGCTGCGTTCCAGCTGCGCCTGACGGCCCCCAAGGGCAGCAGGATCTCAAGCATCGCATTTGCGTCGCTCGAAGTCAGGATCTCGGGCTTCGAGGAACCCCTCGTCATCCATGCGAGCGATGCAGCCTCGAGCGGCACCGAGATCGTCGATGTTGGACCGATCAACGGCGCCTCGCTCGCCGCCGGCGACGAAGAGCAATTTGCGAAGCTGCGCTGCGGCCTATCATGGGCGGCGGGCAGCACCAAGGTGATTCAGGGAAGTCTCGTCTCGGACGTGACCGGCACTCTGGAGCTCGAGCGCGTCGTGCTTCGCACTGCGGGCGAAGCCGCGGCGATAGAGTTTGTCTTTGACCTCTCATGGCCGGCCTCGGCGCCCACCGCGACACGGCCCGGGCAGATCCACGATCCGCGGTGGCTGGTGCGCACCAAGGCGGGCAAGCACCGATACCTGTCGATCTCGCAGCGCGAGTCGTGGCACTCTGCCCGCGTGCGGCCGCGGAGTTACCGGTTGGAGCCGTCGGCGTCGCACCTGGACACGGCCTACCTCGACGAGCGCTTCCCCATTGTGCTCAAGCTGACGAACCGAGAGTCGGTGCCGCTCCGATGCGCCGCCGACCTCGGGTTGCAGGCGGCCTACGAGGGCATGGACGATACGCTGCAGTGCGGCGGCGACGCACCGCCCAGCGCACAGGTGCGCGACCACGACTGCGGCACCGTGGCGCCAGGACAGACTGTCGAGGTCCCCTTTTGGCTGCGCGCCGCAAGGAGGGAGGGCGTACGGATCGTCGATGTCGTCGTAAGATCCTGGCCCGCTCGGTCCGCGGCCGACGGCGGCGGCGGCGGCGACGGCCACAACGACGACGACAACGAGGAAGAGGAAGAGACACGTGGGGCGAGCGAGACGACGCTCTCGATCCGCATCGACGTCGTTCCCGCTTTCCGTGTTTCGTTCAGGCCGATCTGGACGGCCGACGAGCCGGGCGGTGGGGAGGCCAAGGCGCTTCTCGACCTTTCTGATGGCGATGCTGACAACAGCGACGACGACGCCTTCACCGACGAGGACGGGCAAGGAGGCACCATACGACGTACCCCACCTCGACGACGACGACGACAAAGAAGGGTCGACGTGGAGACGACGTTCGAGATGCGGGGCCCAAGCCCGATCGAGGTACGCTCGATCGACGTGCAGCTCCCGTCCTCGCGCCGCGGGGCCATCACGATGGCACAAGACTCGGCGGCCGAGTCGGACGCGCATACAGACGTGCAGCTCCAGGATGTCCTGGGACGCTGGGAGCGGGGCGACGCGTTTGGGGTGTACCACGCTTTCCTTGTTCCCAGCACCCGCGATGGCGACGACGATGACGATAGCGACGAGGGGGTGCGGGTTGGGGAGGAGGGGGGCCAGGTTGTGGTTTGCTGGTCGCGCCACCGCACTTTGGACGGGGATCAGCAAGATGACGAGGCAAAGACAAACAGGACGGTATGCAAGTTGCCCTCCTCCCTCTTGGTTCCACCCACAGCCGCACCATCGTCATCATGGGGGGGCATCAAAGTGACGACGCAGTTCGACAAGACGGCGTGTCTCGGTGTCGCCTTTGACTTTTCACTCGTCCTCACCAACACGGGCGACGGCGGTAGGACGACGGGCAAGAACCAAAACCAGAATCAAGATCGGAAGCACGAGGGGAGGGGGGTGGGGAGTGCGTCGGTTGTGGTGCAGATCGACTCGAGCCCGTCGTTTGTCTTTGCGGGACCACGGCGGCTCTGCATCCCGCACCTCCTCGCCTCGTCTTCGCGGCGCGTCGAGGCGTGGCGCTTCGTCCCCCTCACGCTGGGACGCGTCTCGCTGCCCCCCATCTCTGTCCTCCTCCGATCCGCATCCGGGCGGGGCGCGCGGACGGGCGCAAACGGGCCGGCTGGGGACGAGGACGAGGACGAGGAGAGGGTGGTGTGGCAGTCGCTCTCGCTCGATGCGCCAAGCGGGTTGTACGTCGATGTGTTGCCTGCGTAGTTTTGGTTGCCCGCGTAGTTTTGGTTGCCCATTTAGGCGGGTGACGACGGCAGGGCAGGACGAGGTGGTAAAAGAGGGTGGTGTCCGCAACGATGGGGTCAGAGGATGGATACCGTCCCTCCATCAATCGAGAATGGGAGTGAGGGCAGGGGGAATGGCTAGATTTGCCTCGGTGCTAAATGGGTGTGAATGACATCCTCGACTGTGGGCGAGGGCGTTCTGGAGACAAGGAGCGAGATGAGACACGACGGGTCTGGTGTGGTACGGCGAGCGAGCGAGCGTGGCCTTGGATCCGATCCGATCCGATCCGGTCGAGTCGGGTCGGGTCGGGATGGTGTGTGCGTGCGGTGGGATGAGGCCTCTACGCATCAAGCAAACGGACGCGACACGGCGCGTTTGAGGAAATCCGTCAACGACGAAACCCTCAGCCTCTCCTTTGACTCGCGGGGCTTAGACGCCGTCGACACCGACGCCGACGAGGGGGCGCTACACTCGCGCGTCCTCATCGTCGCCGGCGTTGGCAACGGCGCCGCCGTGATACGACCATGGTTGCCGCTACCGCTACCGCTGCTGTTGCTGCCGTTGCCGCAGTGGGAGGTCGAACCGATAGCCGTGGCCGCAAAGACGGGTGTGGCGGACGACATGGCGCCGAGCGAGAGCAGAGACGTGGCGCCGCCCAAGGGAAGCGTGCGCGCGAGCGGGTGCGGCGTGTTGGGCCTCCTCGTCTTGCGTTTGCGCGGCGCATGCCCCCCACCCAGCCCCAG